AGACACTGCAGAGGAAGCAGCAAACACTGTCTCTTGATGGAGGGAGTGGTAGAAATCTGCTGGTTCTGTCCTGGAGGCCTTGATGATGACTTATTTGACAAGTGTCTGACCTTCACCAATCTTCATGGAGATGCCAAGGAACATAGACAACAACTCAGCTTCCTGCAAGATGTCTCTTCTCTCATTGTGATCCTCATGTCAGCTTCTGATACCAATGAAGAAAATAAAAAGCTTGTCAAACACCTCTGTAAGTCAGCAACACCTTTGATCTGCTTGATTGATGACAAAGAAAAGGCTGTAGCAAATTATTCTGGTAAAAGAATCAAAATTGGCATTAAGAATAGAAATGAGGCAGAATTAACAGAGGAGCTCACCAATGCCATCAAACTTTTGCTAGAGCTCTCTAATACTGCTCTCAGTTTGGAGGACTGTTCACAGACAGCTAGAAAACAAGGATTCCTTATTGATGAAGACCAGAGAGACTGCAAGGAAGCCAAGGAAACGTCACAGATCATAATGGCCCTCCTGGAGGAATGCAAGTTATCTCAGACAAAAGAAAATTTACTACCCCTTCAAGGACAACTTTGGCACCTTTGGTGTAAGAAAGACAAAGAGTTCTATCATCTGAGAGAAAAGGGGAATCGGAGCATTGAACAACATAAGAGTGAGATTGAAACAGATAAAAGAATAATTCGGCGTCGGCAATTGGAAAAAGCCTTTCCTCTTAATGATTTAATGCGCTCTGTTCTCGAACTCCTCCAAGACTATTCAGAAACCCATCACAAACTCTACTTTTTGAAGTGGCTGACTCTGTTTTTTGACAACCTGACTATAGAACACCTGGAAAAGTTACATGAAAAGCAGAGATCTTTGTGGTTAATGGTACAAAGAGAAAAGCAAAGAGCACAGAAGAGCAACTCCCTGACACTCTGGCAGAAGCAGATAGAAGCCATCTCCACAGAGATTCAGGACTGTACTTTAGGAATTGAGCACCTTCTCCGAGAAGTTGCCCAGATCTATGAAGCTCTGGAAGAAACTTCCTCCTCTAGAGATAGCCTTTTTCTCTGCCTCCCTCAAATTGCTGCAGACCTGATGATAGCTGGTATTCCCATTGAGCTAATGGATGGAGATGCTTCATACGTGCCTCTAAAGTGGGTAGCAGCTATTTTTGACAA